TAGCGTTGGATTGCCCAGCCCGTTGTCGCCCTGCTGCGCGGTTACCACGATGCCACCTCCACCACCGGCGGTTGTCTGCGGCACTATCGGCGGTATTAGTGCCTGGGTCAACGCCGCCAGTGAGGCGGCAATCTCCTCCAGTTTTGTACCATGATTACCGAGTGTCTGGTTTATGGCCACCAGTTGCATGCCATGGTCTTCGAGGGTTTGGTTTGTTCGGGTTTGTTCGGCCCCCAGTCGGGTTACTTCTTCGCCCGTGCGACTTTGTTCGTTCTCCAATTCTTGCAAACGTTCACTTTGAGATCTTGTCATTGTGGCGGGACGGGATCCGGCAGGTCGGACCAATTAATATGAACGGAAAATAACAATTAACGGTAACCACCGTTGACAAATCTCAAGAGCTTAACACACACAAATTCTTATTCATAAAACATAGTTTGAAAGCCCCTTTAGGGGGTATAAATAGACAACTTATCCTTGGATAAAGGAAACTCCTAAATTATTGATATTAGGAAATAAACTGAAAATAATTTAGGAAACTCCTAAATTATTGATATTAGGAAATAAACTGAAACTAGGAAACTAATTAAAAGCCAATACTAATTAAATAAGAATTAAGCTAAAACTCTTCATCCAGCCTGGCCCACGGATGTGGGCTTCTCCCGACCCCGCCTGCGATAAACAATCAAGGGCCTGCGGCCCTCTGCTTCTTCGTCTTCGGTCGCACGCGTCTGCTCCGTATCACATGTATACCTCTTCCTCAAGGTCCCCATTTAGAAAAAAGCATTATTGACATCCAGTTGTTGTATAGACCATTGGTGAGAAACAACAAGTGTCACAAGTATTCTGATTGTTACAGGTTTGACTACTGGAGAAAAGGTTTCTCCAAAGTCAAACCCAAACTTCTGATGAAACGCTTTTGCCACCAACCTCGCTCTGAACTTGTTCACAGATCCATCATCATTTTCTTTGACTCTGAAAACCCACTTGCAACCAATAGCCTGCTTTCCTGGAGGAAGAGAAACTAGAGACCAGGTATTGTTAGCTATCAAAACATTGAATTCAGTTTGCATAGCTGCAAGCCAAGGTGGAGAAGAGAGAGCCTGCTTCACTGATTTGGGCTCTATATGAGCTCACAGTAAGGTGGGATTAAGTCTAGGTTTAACAATCCCTGATTTGGATCTAGTTTGCATGAGATGAGTATTATGGAGGGGAACTGGAGATGTAGAAGAGGATGAGGAAGACACAGATGGTGTAGGATGAGAATTGTTAGTGGTTGCATTGAAGGGATGAGGGATGGAAGACTCTGGTGAGGAGAATACAGTAGTAGTTTCATTGAGAGGATGAAGGATGGGAGACTCAGTTGAGGATGATACTGAATGATCAGTAGGATGATTAGAATTGGGTGTAGGTTTAGTGGATGAAGATGTAGAGGTGGAGGAAGAACTGGAGGAGGAAGTAGAAGTATTAGAGAATGCAGAGGCACCATTGTCAGAGATGGGTTGAGAAGAAGATGAAGGTGGAAGAATTGTGATTGGAGCAGAAAGTGAGACTGGGACATTGGGAGATGGATTAGGTGTGGAAGGAAAGAGTGTAGGATAAGGGAATTTTGTTTCATTAAAGATAACATTCCTGGAGAGATATATTTTTCCACAAGGTGAAAGACACTTGTAGCCCTTATGTTGAGATGAGTAACCCAGGAAGACACATTCTTTTGAGTGATAATCCAGTTTGTGTTTGTTGTAGGGTCTGATGAAGGGGTAGCAAGAACAACCAAAGAGCATGAGAAATGAATAATCAGGAACAGTTCCATAAAGCTTAAAGTATGGACTGAGATTTGTTATGGATTTAGAGGGCAATCTGTTTATAAGATACACAGCAGTGGCAAAAGCAGTGTCCCAGAATTTGAAAGGTAAGGAGGAATGGGCTAATATACATAAACCTTTCTCAACAATGGTGCGATGCTTTCTCTCAACAACACCATTTTGATGGTGTGTATGGACTTAATTGAGATGTTGAACTGGTTTAAAATGTATTGATAGAAGTTTTGAAATGCCAAGAAGGCATCAGATTTCTTTTTAATAAAGTAGATCCAGGTGTACTTAGAGAAGGCATCAATGAATGATATATAGTAAGAGTAACCACAAATAAGTAAAAACCAGTTCAAAGGGAGAGTGAAAAACTGTGGTAGAGGGGTAGGAAGGAAGTCTGTGAGCCTTGCCAAGACAACATGCAGAGCAAAAGTCAACAACATTTTTATTGATAGATGAGATATTACAAATATTCAGTACAGATTTGAGGGCCTCAAGATGAGGATGTCATAGCCTTAAATGCCAAACATTACAATTATTAGCTGACTGAAGGTTATTGCAAGTAGACATAAGAGAACTAGGACTCATAGAGCTATTTAGAGAAGACTTGTAGCTTTTTGCAGTAGACTGGTGAGATCCAAGAGCTGGGAAGGACTGGAACTTGTAAAGACCATCTTCACCAAGTATTCCATACAGCAGAATTTGCTTAGAAACCTGGGATTTGACAAAGCATTCATAAGGATGGAATTCAAAAAATGCATTGTTGTCTTTGGCAAATTGACTGACACTTAAGAGATTTTTGGTTATAGCAGGAACATGTAAGATATTATTGAGAGATAAAGAGAGAGAGGATTGATAAGGAGAAGGAAAGGATGAAAAACCAATAGACTTAATTTCCAAACCTTGACCATTGCCCATAAAAAGCTTGTCAGTGGTAGCAATTGGCTCACTGTGTTGGAAGTTGAGAGGATCAGCTGTGACATGGTGTGTAGCTCCTGAGTCTGGGAACCAGTTCTGAGTGGATGGAGGTGGTCCTAGCACAGATGGAGGTGCACAAGCCCAGGCTGCAGTTGGCACATGTGAATGTTGTGTATAGGGATAGGAATATGATCCCAGAGGTAATGGTGAAGGAGTAGGGTGATTAGGAGATTGTCTAGGTGCTGCAGTAGGATAGGAAGGAAATGGATGATAGTGATTTGGATATTGGTTAGGTATGGGAAGGGCAGGATGTTGTTGAGGCTGTTGAAATTGGTTTGAGTGTGGATGAGGTTGTTGTGTATTCGGTGATTGAATAGCAGTGTAGGCTGGATTGTATTTGTGGTAACAGACAAGAGCATTGTGGCCATTTTTGCCACACACTTGACAAATTACTGGATTTCTACCACCTGAACGACCACCCCTTCCTCTATGAAAACCTCCACGACCTCTACCTCTGTAGGAAGAACTGTTATTAGGGTTATCGAACTGAGCAAGTTGAGCTGAGGCAATTTCAGAAGTATTCTGAGTCACACTTTCATTGTTTTGAGAAGGAGATTCAGCTTGGGCAACGTTGGCAGAAAACATTGTTTGCTGCGATGAATCACGAAGTTTCCTCAGTCGTAACTCCTTCGCCAACAAAAGACCTTCAAGTTCAGAAATAGTAACAGGATCTGAAGTGCTTCGAGAAGTGACAGATGAAATCAATGATTCGTAATCCTCAGGAAGTCCTTCAAGGATCCTTGGTTGATATGGGTTCATCGACAGACATTAGGTTATCAACAATTGTCTGAATACGAAGCAAATAATCAGAGATCGAGCGATAACCTTTTCCAGTGTTATAGAGTTCCGATTTCAATTGACGAGCTCTTGCAATGATACTTGATTTGAAAAACTTCTGAATTTCACTCCAAAGCTCATGCGAGTACTTGCAGTTGATGACATGAGCGTGAAGCGATTCAGAAAGCGAGGCTAAGAGCCAGGAAAACAGCATCTGATCTGTTGCTCCCAAATACTATAAGCTTCATTGATTATCTTCGCTCCATTTTCGTCAGCGGCGAATCGATCAGGTATCTGAGGGTTTTCGATGAACTTGAGAAGTTTGTGAGCTCGTACAACAGACTTAACATGATGTCGCCAGAACAAGAAATTGTTGGAATCAAGTTTAACAGGTAGAGGATGATGAAATATCACAGGAGAATTTTGCGAGGTGGCGTGAGAAGATGATGAAGAATCAGAGGAAATCGTCATGGTTGGATCGAGCGATGCTCTGATACCATATTAGAAAGAGAGCTGAATTGAAGATAGAAATGGAATCATCTTGTTGAATGAAGAGTAGTTACAGAGTATTTATAGGCTGTAGTTACAACTAACTATTAGCTAACATAACGGAAGTCTAACAGAATATACATGTACTGTATTACAAAGAAATACTCGTGTAGTTTTCATACACTATTCCTAACAGAGTATGTACCTCACTACCTCATATGCCCATTTTCTATGTTGTTTTTGGTGTAACCAATGCATAATTATAATCTGAATCGTTCACAAAAACTATCTTATTTTCAAATTATTTGTTCAAGCATCATTATCCTTGCGTATAATATGTTTTGAGATGGAGGGACTTCCTTTTTCACTCATAGTTTAGTATCCCACGAGGAGCTGCTGATATTATTTGAGAAAATAAGAGAACCTGTATTTTTTACGGTTGTGGAATTAATGCCAGCATGATTTTGGAAATTTTTATTTGGTATCTATTGTGTTATTTGTGGTTTCTATTTTGGAACTATTTTATCATCATGACATTTATTACTCTATCCTCCTCAAATTGTAAGATGCATTTAGGTTTGACACTTGTTAAATAAAACAAAGGTGCTGTTAGTTTACATGCTTATTTTTTTCCAATAAAAGAAAGAGAAATGGGTCCCACCGAGTAAAATGTTGAAAGAATAGGTAAAGTAATAAATACTTCGTATGAAAAAGTAACAAAAATAATGGTGTGTAAACTAGGTAAGTGAACAATGATTTTGTAATAAATGGAAAAAGAAAATAGATCTCACAGAGTGACAGAACAGGACAAAGGAGCATTGTAGTTGTTGCTCCTTTCTACTGGTGCAGCAGCTTTTACACTGTTTATGATGTCCTGAATAACAAAATAAGTTAACAACTGATAGTATCTTTTCAAACCCATTCTCATTGAAGCTATGAATGCAGGCTGCTGAGAAAGTTGCCAATGGAGAACTTCAGTCTACCTTTGCTATTGTCAGGCCTCCTGGACATCACGCTGAAGAGAACGAACCCATGGGGTTTTGCCTTTACAATAATGTTGCTATTGCAGCAAGTTATTTACTGAATGAACGAGTGAGATCGAGTCTCAGTTTGCAACTTTTATCAATCAAATTTCTTTTATCTCAGATCTTTTTGTCAAAGTATCAGATCTAGGGATGGCAATGGGGTGGGGTTGGGGCGGGGGTTCACTCCCCCATCCCCCGCCCCGTGTCTAAAAAACCGCCCCCACCCCCGCCCCATCCCCCACTAATATTCGACCCGCCCCATCCCCCGCCCCGACCCGCTAGACCCATGGGTACCCAACGGGGGAAGTACTCGTCAAAAATTAACATCATTTTAGACTCTGACAATTTTTCAAAAATTAAACAACACTTCTAGTAGCCAAAAAAACTTTTACTTTTTAAGTGTCAATGTAATATTACATCCCATTTCAAATCTAGAACACATTATACATGTTCTAATTTAGTCAATTTTATCAAACTCTAAATTAGCATTGATTAGCTCTATAATATTTTCTTAAACCTTGCATTCAATCAATCATGGTCATTTGACGGTATCTAGGACGACATATGATCATCAAATTTCAAGAGCCCTAACTACAATCATAAAGATGACATTCAAAAGAAAAGAATTAATGCATTGTAATAGTAAAGAAAAAAAACTTTCACACCATGTCTGGGGCGTTTAAGCTAATATCACTTTATAACTTTCCCAAATTCATTTTACTTTATTCCTAAAAAATCATTTTAATTTATGATTTTGATAAGCAATTTTACAAGATAGCTTAGTTAGTAAACAAGAATTAGATAGACCCATTAGGCACAATCCATTAGATAGGAAACCACTAAACCCACCGGGCCACCATGCTATTTTAATTACTTCGTATTAGTATTACTATTATTATTAGTATTATTATTGAGATTATTATTATTAATTATTACGGGGGACGGGGCGGGGACGGTGCGGGGGGTGCATAACCCATCACCCGCCCCATATTTATGCGGGGAGAAAATATCTCCCCCACCCCACCACCCGCCCCACCCCACCACCCGCCCCAACTCCCCCCCACGGGGCGGTTCCCCACGGGCCCCCGCCCCCATTGCCATCCTTAATCAGATCATTACACATTTCTTCATGCTTTATCTTCATCTTTATTTATTTTTATTTGTTACATTGCAGAAAGATTTGGGCATTAACAAAATTTTGATTGTTGATTGGGATGTTCACCATGGTAATGGTACTCAAAAAATGTTTTGGAAGGACCCTCGTGTACTTTTATTTTCTGTTCATAGGTATTTAACCAAGTTTTCGTTTATTCCTATTTATTCAAAGTAAACGTATCATGTCATTTCATATAAATGCCCCACATGAGCGAGTTCATATATAAGGCCCACTTTAACCAGATGTTATACTCTCTCTGTCCCATACAAGGTCCCCCCTTTGACTTGGCACACTCATTAAGAACTGTGAAGTTGAGTGGTTGGATTTATACAACGGAAATTTAAATAATATGAGCCACAACTTTTTCCTTAAACTGATGAGGAACCTTATTTTAGGACAAACGAAAAAGGAAAGGGAGAACCTTTTCCAAGGGCAGAAGATATATTATAATTTGATCAGAAGGCACTAATTCTTTGACTGTGCCCCTTCATTCTTTCAAATAAGACAGCTTTCTGTAAATATTTGGCATGTATGTTTTTATACAAATTCTCAATTCAGAAAATTTCTCAGCCCAATTGCTTGTTCACAGGTATGAATTTGGGGGCTTCTATCCAGGTGGTGATGATGGGTCTCATGTGATGACTGGGGAAGGGTTGGGAGCAGGATATAATATAAACGTGCCTTGGGAGAGTGGTTGTTGTGGTGATGCGGACTATCTTGCAGTTTGGGAGCATATATTGATTCCTGTGGCAAAAAGTTTTTGTCCTGACCTTGTCATTGTCTCCGCAGGATTTGATGCTGGTTAGAATAAAACTGTAGCTTGTCAAATATTGTGTATGTGTGTGTGCTGTATTTTACTTTCATTCTTAGCATCAGTCCCTTGTCTTTATTTAGTCTGGGTCTCATACTCTCATACCATTCTTTTTACACAGTAATGCTTTGCTTCCCCATATATCTAACTTATAACTAAAAGTTCTCAACTCAATATAATGCTATGAACAGCTGTTGGTGATCCTCTTGGTGGATGTCGAGTAAGTCCACATGGATACTCAGTAATGTTGAGCAAGGTAAGTCGACAAATGCATGCCAAGATGAATAGATTTTCACTTCTTGACGGATCTTTATACCCTTGGTTTATCCATTTGGAAAATGCTAACAAGTGCCTTTAGGATGTAGCTTAAGCAATTAAAAGTGGAAATTAGGTTGCAAGACAAAATGCGTTGAAATGTGTCACAAGAGCAAGCTCTTAAGGGTTTAAATTAAAAAGTTTCTTCTTTTAGGTCCTTAACCAATGCCCTGAGGGCGTTGGTTAGCGATAACCTATCCATTTCTTTTATAGTTAATAGATTGACGTGCAAAATATTTCTCATCATATTTTCGTTGCAAGTCTGCAACCTAGTTATCTCTTCTTTCAAATACAGAAGAAAACTAATTCACATGTGTGACTCTTCTCTAGTTAATGGAGTTTGCTGGTGGAAAAATTGTTATGGCACTTGAAGGAGGATATAACCTTGATTCTATAGCAAAATCTGTTCAAGCATGTATTGAAGTATTGCTGCAGCAAGGACCTATTCCAGGGTCATTAGATGCATATCCATTTGAGTCCACATGGCGAGTAATTCAAAATGTAAGAAGATTTCTTTATTGCTTGGTAAATTACCTGTGATTTGATATTATATGACTACTCTTTTTGTAATGCTGTATGATGTACATCACTCTAGCTACTTCTGACACTGGTGGTGTGTTCACCCTTAATTCATTGTTTCACCTCGATGAATGATGCATGAACAAAATACTGGCAGGTTCGTGAAGAGTTGAGTCCTTTTTGGCCTACACTAGCTGTGAAGTTGGACAAGAATGTAACCATCAAAAGAGCACATCAATCTCAGGTGAACCCTCCTTTTTTGAAACCATGCTGATTGGGATTGAAAACTTTTTTGAAGTGCCTACAAGGATAACAGGCTCATAGAGGCGTAGTTATCTGGATTTATAAATATATGTTTCATTAACTCCATTTCTGAATATCTTACTTCTATATCTGTAAAAAACTAAAAATGGAATCATACAGGGGAGTGAACCTGATTTTATTTCCCAAAAAAGTTGCTCTGTAATACCTCCGGTTCTTATAATCTCATTCACTTTCCACTTCTAAAGTTTTTATATACATTTTGTCAACTTGTATCAACTCTTTGATGTTGCAATCCTGCTGCTGCAGACCTTTATCTCAGATTCTGAAGATGAACACAGTGGTCCGGATGTGGTATCAGAAGATCATGACAAGGCCATAGAGAATGTGTTAGTGCCACTTTCAAGCCTGACAATTAATCCAGAAGCTTCTGGTAATGAAAACAAAAGCTGTTTAGCTCCCTTAAAGAAGCATGTGCATTCATTTGTACTGATTTGTTTTTTATTATGCATTGACTATGCAGACCAAGCAATCACTGTTTCTTCTACTTGGCGATCAGAACTTCGGCAAACAGAAATCTGGTATTGTTAGATATTATTTATTGTGTTCAATTATTATGCTTATCTTTGTATTTAGGTAGTTATTTGTACTTGTAATTAGATATGAGCCATCTTTATATTAGGGTCCATTAATGTAGTATGCCTACTGCAATATGCTTAACCTTAAGATATAAGATATTTGTACGGTTAAGGGTATCAAGTACTTTTGATCATTCTATACAAGCATATTCATTACAGAGAGAGCCGTCGCACTGAGAGCTGTGCTAAATACATAATCATTCTGTTCTCTAATCTTTGTTTTATTCATTATTATTGTGTGATTGTTGGATACATGAGATCTACAATTGGCTTTTAGATTGAAGATACCTGCAAAATTTTGGACTATATTTTCACGGAGAAAGGTTTGTAAACCTCATATTGAGAAGGAAATAACCGTAAACCCTCATTCAGACATATACTTTATGATGATTCCATAGCTATTTTCAAAGTTCACATACCTTCCCGGTCCAAGTGAAAAACAATAGAACTATAAACCAACTTTACGGTCCTTCCTCGGTCTACGGTCCACAGTTTCGGCTCTCAAAGCTTACAGACCAGTCAAAATACGGGCCTTCAACTTCTCGGTCCTTCACAAATCACAACGTTTGCGGCCCCAAACCAAGCTTTGCGGTCCTCATGTGTCTCTGGCCTAAGAAAGAGACTTGCAAACTTGGTGTTTGGGGTACAAGAAAGAGACACGCAAAGTTGGGTTCACGTTACAAGGAGACCCGCAAACCTCAATTTTAAGGTCCAAGCACCACAACCCAATCCACTTTACAGTCTAAGCCAACCTTTACAGTCAAAGCTTGCTTTCAGTCTAGAAAATTTTCAGAATCAATTCAATCAACCAATGCGTACACTTCCAAACCCGACAATCAACAATTGATCCCTACTCCAATACATTATCATTATCATTATCTGACAATGACTCCGTGTCATAATCTGAGGAGTACGAGGTAATTATTTTTTATTCTGTTCTTACTCAAAACTCACGTTCTTTACAAGATAAACACACATCCATGAGTAAAGAACGTAAATCTGTTAAAGAATTAGAAGAACGTATGGCAAATAATGAATGTATCTTGAGAAAGAGCTTAGAGGAAAGATCAAGTCTCATGGTACATCTAAGCAATGCACAAGATTAGATCACGAATCGTAAATCTGAAGCAGAAAACTTGGTAGAAAACGTCTGGGACTTTAACTAAGAAATTGAATGCTATTGAACTCGAACGAATCAAATTTGTTAACCTATGTGAGACAATTCAAGAGGAACGCAAGAGATTGTATTCCAATATCAAAGATCTGGAAGACATTCTTGCTAAGAAAAGGCCAAACTTATCAAACCATTTTCTTAAATCAGCTAAAGGACATTGAATAATACAATCCTGTAAAAGGCTTGGGCTACCAAAGTTCATGCCATTTAAAGAAAGTGACTTCACTTCAACTTTATGACATAAGGATAAGGTACATGAGTTTAGATCTAACCTCCTGGATGGCTTTTATCGGAGCTTCAGGAATCAGTGCTCTTGAATAGGAGAAAAAAGAAAAAGCCAAGGCTGAGGCCTCATTTGATTATTCAGAATTGAACGATATTTATGAGACAAGGGAAATTCCTTTGTCTACGACTATGATTCAATAAATATTCATGCGAGTGAAACAATGCATGCTAGGAAAGGATTATTTGTTTCTCACGACAGGGAATCTCAGAACCAGACTTTGTAGCCCTAGAATCCAATGATGTGTACTGGATTTATTGCCTCCACATAAAATTTACTTTGAAGGAGCACATATACCAACTAGGATTCAAGGCTATCGAAAGACATGTGTTGAGGCAGATCAAGTTCTACATGGCTCAAAGACCATTAGATCGCATTAGAGAATAACATGTGAACTTGAAGAGCCCGAAGAAGTATGATCCAACACTCGAAGATCTCCGAGTAAATCACATTTTCCATACTCGAGAGCTAGCTGTGATGTACCTTGACTTTGTAGGAAGGAAACATGTGGTCATTCTATGCGATATTGTAATGTACATTCTAAGCGATATTGAAATGTACAGTGACGAGACTTTGGAGACCATTATTTGGAATCTCAAAGAACTTTTATATTCTATGAATGATCCCACGGCTTTAGATTATGATTCTGAAGTAGGGGTGGACATATTGGTTTGGTTTAAACGAATCGAACCATACCAAACCGAACTAAATCGAACCGAACCGGACCATATGCAATTTAGTTTGATTGCGGTAATTTTCTTCTGAACCGTATTAAACCGATAGGAGGAGCAGTCCATGTGTTAATATAACATTTGGTTCATCCAACCTTTTCCAGTGTGGGGCATTTAACACCCCTCCTCACGACCAGACACTTCGTCTGGATCGTGCCATCATTTTTTTTCATCGGTCCGTTTTTTTTATCCGGCTGTAATTGTCATTTTTTCATAAGGGGCCCCACACCATGGATCGATTTGTCTCTGATACCATGTTAAGACCCGGGGTTCCATCCTAACAGGTCAACCTGATAGGAGGAGTAGTCCATGTGTTAATATAGCATTTGGTTCATCCAAACTTTTCCGGTGTGGGACATTTAACACCCCTCCTCACGACCAGACATAGCTTGTTACGGGTTTGTTTGGCCCGTTTATACATCCCGATATTGTCCAGCCGGTTCAGGCTGAGGGGGCGTGTTAATGCATTTGTCCCGTACCAGAAAGCTATGAAACAATTAAACACTATATAAGGCTTTGGGCTACTCCTCCTATCAGGTTGACCTTTTAGGATGGAACCCCGAGTCTTAACAGTATCAAACCGAACCGAATCGAAATTGGTAAAAACTGTACAAAACCGAATCGAAGTAAAGAAATTCAAGAAAACCTTCATATATTATTAAAAAATAACAAATCCGAACCGAACCGAACTAAATTGAACCGAACTAAACTGAACCGAACCAAACCAAAAAACAATATGGTTTTATTTGGTAATAATTCTCCCAATCAGTTATTCCATAATTTGCAATGGAGCCAAAGACTCACTATTTTTCGGCTTGGGAATATGATGGAATAAAGCAAAATGGCTCAATAAACTGTCTGCGCTTCTTTGTTATGAACCAGCAGTTAGTCCATGCAATTTTCAATGCGGTTTTCACTTTGGATCATTCAGAAACAGTCTCTTTGTGTTTTAATATAGGGGTAAGGTTGCGTACATCTGACCCTCTTTAGCCCATCGTAGGTGGGAGCCTTTGCAGCACTGGGGTAATGATGATGATGAATTCTCCCAACCCGTTCCAAATCGAACCAAATCGAAATCGATAAAAACTGAACCAAAAACTGATATGCCCAACCCTACTCTGAAGAATACACTCTCATCAACAAAGTCATTGAGGGCATTAAAGAAAGGATTGATCTAAAAAAATAATATTCACCATTACGAAGTGGTTCTAGGATTCATGAAATCATCCTACAAAACACAAATTGAGTACAAAAGGAGAGATTGATAGAAATTAATTATTATTTTCAATTACTATGCTAGTATGCTTATCTTTGTATTTTTGTAGTTAATTATACTTGTAATTAGATATGAGCCAGGTTTGTATTAGGGCCCATTTATGTATTACGCCTATCTGTAGGGCTAAGCGTATTGAATACTTTTGATCATTCTATACAAGCATATTCATTATAGAGAGAGAGAGCCGCCGCACTAGGACGACGATGACAACAACAATAACATCCAAGTCTTAATCCCAAAAGATATTGGGGTCAGCTAACATGAATCGATACATGATATCACCACCAAAAGAAAAAAGAAAGATAAAAAGATAAGCTATGATAAAAAAGATAATATAAAAAGAGATGCACTAAGAGCTGTATTAAATACCATGTACTCTATCAACGATTATTATCATTGTCCGGTATTGAATACATCATCTTTCTATTCTCTAATCCTCTATTTTATTCATTATTATTGTGTGATTGAAGAATATATGGGATTTACAGGTATGCCGCTTTTGGATCAAATATGTATTTGCCAAGACTTCGCTGCTATATTGAAGGTGGACAGGTATATGTATTTCCTTTTCTTACCGCGTACAATATATATATATATATATATATATATATATATATATAGGATTATTCATGTCCCTCCGTTCCTGACCGGAGCGCCGTCCGGCCTCCGCCTTTTGGAAGGTAGTCAACTTCCGAAAATCATTTGACTGCCTTCCCGATTGAATTTTTAGCTGAAATTTGGTATGGATAAACTAGACTTGATGAGGAACATGCACAAAAAATTTCAACAAAAAATACCACCGGGAACCGCCCCAAAAAGCGGAGGCCGGACGACGCTCCGGTCAGGAAATTCTTGACCATAAGATTACTCTCTCTCTCTCTCTCTCTCTCTCTCTATATATATATATATATATATATATATATATATATATACCCCAGGGGGCATCGGGGGGAGGGGGTTTAGGGGGGCTGGGGTAAACTGGGATCAATCTCACTCCATTTTTGAGAATTGAACCTGGGACCTCCCGTAAGGGAGAGTGAGTCGGCGATCAACTGGTCTGGACCGCTTCCCCTCTCTCTCTCTCTCTATATATATATATATATATATAGAGAGAGAGAGAGAGAGAGAGAGAGAAAGTAGCGATCCTGTCAGGCCGGCTTGATAGGATTCGCCGTCCGGCCGAGGGCTTTTGGGGGCTTTCCCGGTGGAATTTTTTGATGATTTTTTTTAGCACGTTCTTCATCAAGTCTAGTTTATCCATACCAAATTTCAGCTAAAAATTCAATCGGGAAGGTGTCAAAAAAATTCCCTACGAAACTGCGCTGTTTATATATATATATATATATATATATATATATATATATAAAGCACAATTTTCCTAGAGAATTTTTTTGATTGCCTCCCCGATTGAATTTTTAGCTGAAATTTGGTATGGATAAACTAGACTTGATGAGGAACATGCTCAAAAAATTTTATCAAAAACTTCCACCGGGAAGTTCCCCAAATGGCCTCGGCCTGACGGCGGTTCCCGTCAGGCCGGTTTGATACGAACTGCCCTCTATATATATATTGAAGGTGGACAGGTATATTTATGAATCTCAAAGAACTTTTATATTCTATGAATGATCCCAAAGCTCTAGATTATGACTCTGAGTAGGGGTTGAACATATTGGTTTGGTTTAACCGAATCGAACCATACTAAACCGAACTAAAGCGAACCGAACCATATGAAATTTGGTTTGAGTTTGGTAGTATTTCTTCCGAACCGTATTAAACCGAACCGAATCGAAATTGGTAAAAACTGTACAATGAATTGGTAAAAACCGTATAAAAACTTTACCTCTATATTGAAGGTGGACAAGTATATCTATTTCCTTTTCTTACCGCGTTTAGGATCAATTGAGAGACATATTAGGAGAGAAATAATAATGAATTTGGCCCGTTATATTTCACTGTTGTGCATTATTTGAAGCTGAAATGTGCATTGCTATGGATGAAAAAATGCGGTGACATTTTTATAAATAAAGTGAACTTTTTTTGCTGCTGCGAAATGTGCATTATCTCAAATAGAAATGTGCAACTCCATGAACAAGAATAAGAATGTGCACCATTATAATTTCTCTAGGGAAAAAGCTTTCTCACCAGAACCGGTCTTCATATATATATATATATATATATATATATATATATATATATATATATATATATATGCATTTACATATTCATTCCCTACAATAATGTAGCTATATTGATATATTATGTGTTTTATGTATGTCTTTTGGAATTTGTTGTATGATAGTGATATGTTTTTGCTGGTTATTACTAGTCACTATTATTTTTATTATGTAACTTAAATTTTTTATATTGATAAAACAAATAAATGTTCATCTCAACCATATCTTATACAACGTATATATATTCATGAACTTTTTTCAAATTAGTCACAAAATGTAAATTAAGAATATATACACTTTTGTTCCAAATAATTGGAAAAATGTATTTTCTCTCCCGCATACTCATATAATTCAAGACTTATTTATTTATTCTCATTTTTATTTTATTTGTGCTAGTATGCTTGCATTTTTTTATCTAATATGTTTGACCCCCAACTATCGTATCATTTTAAATCAAATGACTATTTTTTGTAAAAAAAAAAAATTCGAATCGAAACAAACCGAACCAATCAAACCATTGTTTCTAGTTTTGAAATGTAAAACTGAACCAAACTTTTTACTTTGTTTCCATATTTCGTTTTTACTCAAAATCGAACCGAAAAAACCAAACCACCCCTACATGGCTACATTAGTTGAATGACCAATTCAAAAGTACAATTACTGGAATTTACTTGTAGTGCATTTCAATAGTACACTGATGTGTTTTTAAACATAACAATGTAGAATCTAACGTCTTATCTCTATATTGTGTCTGCAAGTTAATGTCTATCAACTTAGGAGTTACAATCCATAAGACATGACCATAGTTGATATTTATGGATATATACAGTTAAAAAAGGAGATATTACCCGAAATAGGACTAAAAAAGTTTGCAAATTCCAAAATATGACTTCCATGTTTTTATTCCCAAAATAGGACTAATTACTGTCATGTTTTGGCAGTACCAGACTTCAAACATGACAGTATTTTCCAAATTTGGCAGTAATTAGTCCCATTTTGGAAATAAATACATGACAGTCCTATTTTGGAATTTTGAAACTTTTTTAGTCCTATTTCGGGAACTTTCCCTTAAAAAAGCTGATAATTTTGGCATTATTTTTACTTTTTATAAGACCATGTTGTGTGCTGCAGAATTTCCTTTTTTTTTTAATTTAAATATTTCAATATTTTGTATGATTTTCAAAATTGTAAAAATTTTGTTCAGCTCGACGGAATGAAAGGACGGTGTGCTGGCTCTATGGATAAAAGTATGCCAAAGGAAACCATGTGGAAGACAGTCTGCCATCGACTGTTCTTTGGTCGTGATCATACGGTGACATGGGGCCAAGGGGGTGTTGCTTTTCTTCATCCTGAAACCAGTCAGAACAAATCTCCTGTGTGCCTCTATAAAATTACGTATGCTATCCAATCTTTTATTTTCTTTTAATTTGTGAAAAAATGAAGTTTGCCTTCATTATGATTTGAAACTATTTTTCCTGCTTTTCGATCATTGTTGTAGGCTTGAGCAGTTCAATGATATTCTCCTTCAGGAAAATGTTCCAAGCTATGAAATGACAGCTCCTTTATTTGATTTGACTGCATTATGCTCAATTGAAGATGAAAAAACCATCTTGGTGGGGGCTGTGAAGGTGCACATTCTAGTCTTATGCATCATTTTTGTGCTATTGTTTTTTCTTGAATACTCCCTCCGTTCCCCCTAACTTTGTCCCGTTTTACCTTTTTCGTCCGTCCCTTTAAGTTTGTCTCGTACCATATTTGGTAATATTTGGGTGGTTACAATTGATTCTTACTTTATTTACACTTTATCAATTCAATACCAACCACACATTTCTACTTTTTCTTAAAAACCACACCACACCCCTTTGTCCCAAACTTAGGGGATGGAGGTAGTACCAATTATGGAGTAGAATGATTGGAGTCGAGTCTCCATGCTCTAACAACCTTTTATTTAACAAGCACCTGGCTGTTAAAAAGAAGGTGAATAATTAAACCTTTTAGGTTTATGTAATGTATCACAAAACACTTTTTCAGCCTAAATTGTAGCAACACACTCTTTACCCCATCTGGTACTATAATAAGTACTGAATAGACTACTTTTTGCTGAAGTATTAGATGTAGTTATGTTCCTGGCTGGTCAGTGCCGCCGTCCTGCTGGTTGGTGCGGTTTCGGGTTAGGGTCTTAAACCGACCGCCCGAGTACATGGCTTAAAGATAATTCTATTTGTTTGCTCTCAATTTTGGATAATGCTTGGCAATAGACACAACCGTTTGGTTTTTAGAAGCAGGGTCACAACCTTTCATTCTAAAGGTGTCTTTTGGGCGTAGAGTCTCCTGTCCATAGCTCTACATAGACCCATGGTTGCTTGCATTTCTATCGATCCCAAAAAATAATGATTCCGATTCCCTTCCTTCTCCCACCCGCTACTCCATTAACGTTGCCTCTTTGAGTTTGCCGGTGTCCTTCGGGAACGTATAAACCGTTCTATCTTGGGAGGCGATTGCTACTTGTGTTGTGGGCACAGAGACATCGATTGGTTGGGCTCGGTTTCATCCAAGTACTCCTGTTTACTTCTATTTATTTAATTAATGCATGAAGATTTTATTGAATTTTACATAACACTTAGTTGGGTTACAGAAAATACAGAAGGGAAAATCACACTTTTAGTCCTTCAATTGTTTGATACGGTGTAATATGGAAACTTTCTTTCTGTTTTTGAAAATTTAATCCCCAAGATGTTGCTCCTCTTCTTACAAGCCATCATTTTAGGTTTTAACCAAGGAAATGATAAAAAACATTTATCCACGTGTATCTTCCTCTTCCATTTACGTTGTTGTTAGTGCCACACACCATGTGCTCCAATGCTCTCATGCATATTTTTACCTCGATCGAGGCATTAAAAAATTCCACTTTTCATATTATTTCTCCTCTTGACCACATATGTAGTCAATTCTCCCCTGTCTTCAATGACTACTACTTCCACTTTCGACAACTTCCACCTATATGTACTTGTTGTGAACTCTATATTTGTTTTTACTTTTTAGCATTACTTCACATTCAATTGCTTAACTGAAGTTTGATTTTATTGTTTTCCAAGATTTATTTATTTTTGTTCGGGGAATAGTCATTGAGTTGTTGGCTACAACAAGTATGCAGTATGTCAATTGTAATACCATTCTATGGAAAAGAGCACTTTTCTGTTTAAGGCCACTGGAATATGCTTGGAATGGGTCAGGCAACTTTATTTATTTTTCTTGTTATTATATATATATCTTCCTAGGATTCATTTTCTTGTTCACGGGGTTTTACTTCAGTTCGGACATTGTATTTTCCATAGTCCTGGAGGTAACATTATATATTTTGATTGAATATCATGGATGCTGCTTGAATTTTATGCAGAGTGGCTGGTACCACAATGTTCTTTACTTGGGGAAGGAGAAGGGAATCCCGATTCTAACCATGACGTAAGCGCCAGTATCATGTTCTTCCCAAACATAGCCTGTCTATCTCGTACATGTATTATTTTATTATCTACTTCTTGTCATGCAGTTGTAGCTTGCCAGTTATTGATAGCTTCAGATCAGGCAAGTTTCCTCTCTGTGCACCTTCTCAAGGCTATGCTGATGTCCTGATCAAAGGATTGGTGGAGGGGAATCAGTTCTCAGAAGAGCAGGCCTCTGCATACATCCAAGATGCTTCTACCAAACCACTGTGACTCCTTTCTCACTTTGGTCATTTTGTGGAAAAAGTCCGAGCCACTGCAGGAATTATCTGGCGTTAATTAATGAACTATTGAAACACTTTTTCTAGTCTGCTATGTTTTAGGAACTTTTCTCATGTTCCTTAGTACGTGTAGACACCACCGTGTTCCGTGCAGGGTTGGAGACAGGGAGGGACTGGAGGAGGCCTCCTCCCAAGGAAAAATCCTAATGTATATATAGTGTATAAATACTTTTAATTTATAAAAAATATTTTGATATTTTAAACTTTTGCCCCTGCAATGTAAAATTTTCAAGGCCCGGCCCCTCTAATCACAGATTTCTGGCTCCACAATTGGTTCTGATCCCCCTGTAAGTCAGTCTGACTTCAACTTATAGCTGATTAGGTTTTGGTCTAGTTAGAAACTGCCTTTACGGATCCAGTTCTTGCTGCTGGTTCAGAACAGATTTTCAAGCCTACTTCTGTATAAAAAGTGGAACCATAATTAGGAGTGGACTGATCCGATCACCCATTCTACTATTGCTATTAGTTGCTTGTTTGATTTTTTTAAATTGAAATACTTGCTTGTAAAAGATTTTTTTAATATAGAATTGCTTGTAAGAGTTTATGTTTTCATGTTTAATTGGGTAATAAATGCGGAAGAAAATCAAATGAATGTTTCAAACTATAAAAATGTTTTTTAATTTAAAAAGGCTCTCCAATTGTTGGAATTGGAGAGTCTTCTCTCTAGCGGTCATCTCCCTACGAGTTAGGGTTTCTTTTCTTCCGCTTACATCATTGACGAAGAGCGACCGTCGGTAGATTTCGATCGTGCAAGCAGGCTCGGGACCAGGGATGCAGCTCTTTGGTGGCTAGGGCTCGACTTCTGCTGTTGTTTCTGATCGAAGGTCGATTGTTGACAAAGAAAAGGTGGATAAGCTGTGACGGAGTATGTTTTCGATTCAACATCAAGGAATGTCAAAGGAGGATATCATCATTTAATACAAAAGCATGACTATTGAGGCGGATGAGCGATGGGCACCCCCCCCCTTCCTCCCGAGCCGCCGTCATGGAGTGCAAGTAAGTCTAGGGTTTGGAAGAAGATGAGTGAACCCTATTTTAATTCCGTTTTATTCTATTTGTGTTTTTCTTTCGAATTGCATGTTGTCTTGGACGTGTTCTTATTTCCTGGCAGAGAGATTCTAGATTTTAAGTCAGGTGATGAGAAGTCTGATTTGTTAGTCATTGACTCAGTTAAGCCCATTACAGGATTAACGAATATTATTGCTTCTACAGATGTGATATATTCTAAGCCCGGACGGCAGACATAAAACCTTTTATCGCTTTGTTTACTTCTTTTTCTTTGATTGTATTATGAGTGACGAACGTTATTTTGATTTAATGGATTTGTTGGATTTGATTACTAAAAAAAATTAAAAAGGCTAGCCGCGGGCATTGGGCAATGATTTTCCTTGGAAGTTCCTAATTTTTCTAGGTGTGTTTATGTATCAATTTTCCTAGTTCTTGCTTTTGTTAGTCTTCTCAAGTTATCGGGCATGACCGCACGAGTGCATGACACAAACATACTTTGAGTTTTTCATGGACTTTATATCTATATCGAATTGTTGTTTGATAACTCCCCATTATTCAATCAAGGCTAAAGGGTCAAATAGATCCAAGAACTAACTTAAAACGTGCAATTCACCCCTTATATAGGAGGCTCTATCCGGCCGTCGTCAATTGAGGCGGTTCCCGTCGGAATTTTTTGATGAATTTTTTAAGCATCTTCTTCATTAAATCTAATTTACCCATACCAAATTTCAGATAAAAATTCAACCGGGAAGACAGTCAAATGATTTTCAGAAATGTACTGCGCGTCTGCGCTGTTTAACTGTGCAATTATTTTCAAAAATTCATTTGATTGCCTTCCCGATTGAACTTTTAGCTGAAATTTAGTATGAGTAAACTAGACTTAATGAAGAAGATGTTCAAAAATTTTCATCAAAAACTTCCACCAGGAACCGCCTAATTGGCGACGGCCGGACAGAGCCTCCTATATAAGGGGCGAATTACACATTTTAAGTTAGTTTGAGGGCCAACCCTTTAGCCTTCCATCAAAATACATTATTTTTCATGACACTTAATTTGATTGGATCATTGATTGTTCTTTGAATAAAAAAGAATCTCATGAATGAGCTATATGAAGATGATTTACACTCGGTTTTTCATCTTTCTATTGGTTTACCTTATTATTTATTGTTTAATTTTACAATATTATTCTCGATTTAGTTGATAGTAGATTTTTCTATTTGTTTTGAAGTAAGAAGACCTTTGTAAAATTTGACTGATGGTCAATAATAGGAGTTGCTTATGTTAGGGTAATCGATCATTTCCATATTTGATCATTGGATTTGTTGTGCTTTCTATCCTATTATAATATATATTCTATATACGGAGTATTAGAAGATCTACATCTTTGAGTAAAGACTAACATTTTTTATTGAGGTGAGTTTTGAAATGAGATGTTATAGTAATGCTACTAGTATATTACCCGTGCGATGCACGGGAATTTAATAAGAAAAATCAGGGAAATAAACATTTCAATAAGCTTGTTTTCTAAAAAATAACTAAACATATTATAGCATATATCTAAGATGTACATATGATGTGTTTTCTTGGATTGAAGTTTGTTGGTTTTGTATGGTCTGAACCGATCAATTACGATTTAGTGAATGTGTAATTTCTGTGTACTTTATAACTATTCAAGTTTAATTCGATCTGGTCTATATAAGTCTGATATAATATGAGACTGATAACAGTTAAGGCAAAAACATACGGAGTATGTTTTGTCACATATGACAGGATATTCTTACAAAAATACTACCTTCATCCCAAAAGGTCTGTCATATTACTTTTTTGGATAAATGGTGACAAATTTTGGATAATGATTTTAATTATCATATTTGTATACAATTCTTTTTATATTTTTATAAGATATTTTTAATAATGAATATTTTGGTATGATTTTCATATTCAAAATTGTTCTGTACTAAAAAATAACATTGGTCAAATTTAAATACAATTAACCGAGAAAAATCGATTTGAATACGGATCTTTTGGGGCGGAGGGAGTAATACACCACTCGTATAATGTAATGTGTACCCAAGCAAAAGGTACAAAATCAAAGATGAACAAACATTAAAATGTTTAAAAAGACAACAACTATGCATTTAATAAACCAAAATAAATTTGCTCATTCGAATTGCCCAAACCTAGTATCCCAAAATCCAAATATTCCAAATCTCCGTATATATGGGTACGTATTTCAAACCCCATGCAAGTGATGCACCATCCACTTGCATCTTCTGATCTACCTCCAAGGACTTTCAACCCAGCGCCAATTCCTCTCGCTGAAACGCCGGCGAGTGCATGTAACCACCATCGATTCTGATCTTTCTCAATTCTTCCTACTATAGATAAGTTGCCCCCCATTACAAAAATACGCTTGTTCAAACATACGTAGTATTGCTTAAGGTTCAATTTTTATAGTTTTACAATAATTTGGACCCTATTTGAGTTGATATCTATAGATGATTCTCAGAATAATGATGTCTAATAAATTATTGGATATTAAGGAAACGAAGTTGTTTCCCACAAAAAAAAATGAAGTTGTCATACCTTATGATCTAAATACTGTATACGATGAAATATTCAACTCACGAAATGGAAGTTTTATACTCCGTATAATAAACTGCCAATTCACGGTTGGGAATATATATGCTGAATCACTAACATTCTTTAGATCCGTTTGTATTTTAGGATTCCTTGAGGTTATATTAAGTGGATGTTGATTATAATGTTGCTACGTCCGATAAGAAAGATTTTCTCTATTAGAAACCTCTGGAACATCACTATAGCGGAAGAAATTGAGTGAGATTTATCCATTATCAACATGCGATTACTGGTTTATTTGAAATTTAGTTGTGTATTTAAAGTAGAAGGTTTAGCTTACTTCATATATATACATGTATATATACTTACAATATATACTAATTTTACCAATAAATAGATTCCAGTACATACTTCTATAGTTCTATAAAAGCAAACTCTAAAAGGTTTCCAGCAACCCTTTGTTATTATGATCAAATTCACACTTTTCTTTTCCTTAGAGACCATATCCTAATTTATCATCTTATACGGAGTAGTTTGGAACTTATAAGATCAGAAAATGTTCGATCATAAAACTTTTTTTTTCAATTTTTAAGAAAAGCATTTGGTATTAGCAATTGATCATATTATTTGTTAGTAAACTCACACACACACATACCATAAACTACGTAGTATGTAGAACTAATCCAATATAGCAAATTATAGTTCATAGCTTCAACACATGCAATACACTACTACCACCTAAGTATATAGTAGAAAATAATCAAATTCTCGATCTGTTATAGGCAGACTTAAAATATCTTAGCTTAGGTGGTAATAACAACATAAAAATACTACGTATTTGTCATTCTCTCTCTATAATTTTGTTGGAGGGAGTTCAAATATATTTAGAGAGGGAATGACAAATATATTTATTAAGTTGTAATTAAAGCAACACCTAATACAGAGTATTATTTTGATATACTTGTGTGATTTCAAGATTAGATAAGCCTCAAATAAACCAAATCTCTAGTATCCTTCTACCATAAGTATCTTATTGCATAGAGATTGCCCTCTATCAAGCTACCCGGCCTCTTTTATGCTTTGAATATAAAATAAGTAAAGATGAAACCCTTTCAAAATATAGTAATACACATGTGGAATACCAAGCTCGAGTAAACAAACTTCAACTTGAAATTTTTATGTTAGAAGAAAATAAACTTTAATTGGTAATATGTTTAAACATATGTATGTGTAATGTGTGTGTGTTTTTAATTAAATTTCTTGGTCATGAAAATGCAATTTCATTTACGGCTAAACCTTCACGCTCGGCATTCCACATGTGTAGAACACAAAATGGAATCTTTTAATGGCATTTTACACAAAGCGTGAAGGTTTAGCCCAAGAAATTGAAATTGACAGCTAAACCTTCATGCTCGGCATTCCACATGTGTAGAACACAAAATGGAATCTTTTAATTGCATTTTACACAAAGCGTGAAGGTTTAGCCCAAGAAATTGAAATTGACGGCTAAACCTTCAAGAACTCACAACACTAAAAAATTACAGTACTTGTGTTGTGTGTACTTTCTACCACTTCAAAGCATTTGTACTTAGTAATTAGTATAGACATCCTTGCCTTCAAGATCCTCGAATTTGTTATCTAGAATTTATAAATCATAAAGATAAGAAAATAACGCTTTTGAGTAATAAAATGATTACTACCTGTTCCCTCTAATTGCATGAGTGATGTTCATTTGACAGGTGTTCGGTTGATTGGTCTTATGACACTTTCCAGTTGATATAAAGATTATCATCTGACCTCAGGCCAATATAGAATATTGAATGTATACTTTTAATAATATGGATATGCGTTACCATCCTTGGTTTTTATGATGAATCAGTAGTGGAATGATCTCCTATTTATAGGAGCACGTACAAAGATATCTACCAGAATACAAAGAAATTAATCCAGCTAATTTATTGTACTATTTAATTAATTAATGTATTAATGTAAACACCCTTCATAATACACTTCTTGGTGAACTCAAAAGTCACACCGAGAAGAGCAAATATAATTGGGCCTCTCTACCACCTTTTTGTTCATTGCACAGCCGCCATATAATTTGAATATATGAACGGTCAACCATTGTGAAATGTAATAATTGCCTTCCACAATTTACAAATTAAAGCACTTGTGTGATTTTAAAATTAAATCTGCATAGTTGCCCGGCCAAAAGATTTTCTCACGTGCATATCACACTTTTCCCGCCTATTTTCCCTCCCAAACTCCCTACACTTTTCTGTTTTACTATATATATAGATATAGATATAGATTAGGTGAATTAGATATTCCTTCCGTCCCTCCTAGTTTGACTTCACAAATATTAAGAAAATGAATTTGATTTTACACTATAACGACACTGTTTGATACTGTAGTGACACTGTTTGACACTATTTTGCGCTGTTTGATAAATATTTGTTTTCCAAATAGAGAAAGAAAAAAGTAGGACAAACATTTTGGAACATCCATTTCGGAAAAGTAGGACAAACATTGACGGACGGAGGAAGTAATTATAAATAAAAATATTATTTGAACTTTATTTAATAACTTTAGTCATTTATTTAATAATTTTAGTCAATGCACTCATAAAAATAACTCGAACTTTATTCATTTAATAATTACACAATTCAATGTCCAATATAAAAAATTAAATGTTTGATCAAAACATTGAT